GAGTCAATCAAAGCTGTAGACTTGACAAATCAAAAAGCGAGATCTTGACGATTTTTCCTCAACGAAGAGATATATGTTTCAGCCGCAAGAAGCTGGAGTTCTTTCCCTTTTTTCAGGTTCCAGGACCAGACTTTAGGCACCTTTAGGCATTGTGACATCGAAGAAATAAACTCAGAGAGGTTGGACCCAGCCGCCATGCGGCCTGAACCACTGGTGCTATCCATAAGAACTGGTGGGGTTCATCCCTAATATGGATAACTAATGGGTGGTATACCTACCCCTCTGAAAAATATGAGCTCGTCAGTTGGGATGAATATGCCCAATATATGGAGAAAAACAAAATAAAAAAAAACATGTTCCAAACCACCAACCAGATAAATAGGCCTGAGAATTGAGCATCAACCTTTGAAACTACTAGCCAGACCAGTTCTGACAGAATACTTAAGTATCATGCTCCGCGACATGACTATCACGAAACCGGGGTCAGCACAGCGATGTTCCGTTGCAGACCTTCCCAGCTAAGCAACGATGATCAAACCCATGGTCGTTTCAAAGCCCTGCGACCAAACGAACTTGGCCTCGCGTAACGTGACGACGCAACGAGGAGGAATTTTCCGACTGACGTGACTGCAACGGTCGTAAGTGAATGAAGGTTGATCAATGAAGAATATAACTAGAGTTAATGGTGAATTCTTTGGTTTATGGGAGATACAACGAACTAGTTAATGGATTTATACACCAAACTATGATTGGGAGATAATTGGGAGGGGCCTTACCCTCTATGTTTGCCTTCAGGATGGAGTGACATATGCATGAAATATCATGAAATATCTGGGACATGACGGGAGATCTGTCGTTTCCAGCTTTTGTCGTTGATGCAGGGGACACAAACAAGTTCTGGTGTACATTCAAGGTGTTTGTACTCTTCACTGTGAAGCAACTGTCGGAAACAGCTTAGAAATCCGCAGGATTGGAACACCCATCGAATTCACAGAAAACGACCAAGAGAGACGGTGCTCCAACAGGCCATCAAAAGGACTTTCTTAGCTTCTACCCTATTGTAAACTAACATAGCTATGGAAAATCACCATTTATAATAGGTAAATCAACTATAAATGATCATTTTCACTAGCTATTTTGACATAACCAGGGGGTAACTCTAGCTGAGCAGTCTGACCGGCCGTTTGACTCTTTCCATCTAAGATAGCACAACACGAGACTTCATCCCAGTGAGAAACAAGCAAACGAGTTATGGTTGTATTATGTTGTATTCCAGTTATTGAAAAGCATGTTATAACTAGAGGGTGACCTAAAAACTATCCGCATTTACCAGATTTTTGAAGCAGTTTCTAATTGAAATGATCCTCCAAGCATTGGCAACTGCAAAAGCTGCAGAAAACTGATTCAGGCTCACCCAAACTTCAAAGCATCTCAGCATTTCACACCCGTGTCTTTTGTATAGTATTTATATTATACATCCCTATCACCTATCCGTGCATGTCCCCCATATGAGACCTTAGATGTCTCTGACTGCAACGTCGACATCTTTCACCAAGGTCAAGTGCGAAAGGCAACAAAACTTGTAATTAACTATAGTAACTTATAGGTTAATCACTAGGTGAATTCTATGGTTAATTTATCGCACGTTAATAACGATGGGCTAAAAAAAAGGCAACTTTTTGTAACCACCACCTGCTGAAGGTCGGGCTCTCGCCAGCGTGAATTGACCAGAGTATGACAGATGAAATGCCAGGATGTCATATAGAAGGCCAGAGCATATGTAAGATAGAACGTCAGTATATATATATATGTAAATATTATATTATTAGATGTCAGTTGGTGGGGATCACTTGAATTTTTAGCTGTTTTCCTTCTCTGAGCATCCTGAAGTATTCCGCGTTTATTGCTCATTCTCTGAAGTATGGATTTATACACAGTATCATAGCATATGTGGAGGTTTCCTAAAATGGAGGTACCCCTAGCTATCATCCATTTGTAGATGGATTTTCCCTAACAAAAAACAGCGATTTTGCGGTACCACCGTCAGATTTGACGTCTCGATGATTCGGAGTTAACTTGGTGGAACCGTTGTTCGCAGCCGAGAAACCACTTTGATTCGAGCATCAGACCAAATGAACCTCAAAAAGGCAAAATCCAACTTACCCGGCCTGGTAAACGTTTACATAACGAACTGGAAAATCACCATGCTATTAATGGGAAAATCAACTATTTCTATGGCCATTTTCAATAGCTATGTTAAATTACCAGAGGGTACATCAAGTCGGGCTTTGTGACAGACAAACCAAAAATCCTGAAAACACAGATAAGACATGATAAAACATGATTTTTGACATGATAAGACATGATAAGACGTATGTGTTTTTTGGGGGTCAACTTCCGCCAGTCCTATCGATTTACGGCATAGATTTTTCTGTCCCCTTGGACTCCTGAAGGTCGCTAGGCTTCGAGGCCAAGAAACTCATCATTGTCGCCCATCCATGGTTTCCTGAGCTTAAAGCTTCGGCTTACAGAATGTTGTGGTTACAAACACCTTCTACTTAGACATATATTGTATAGGTGTACATCATGTATATTTTTGTTCATTATGTTTCCATATAATCTATACCATATATAAACGTATATATCCAGTTGAATATCGATGGATGTCTCTGTGTCTCTATGCCGAATCATTTTTCTGGAACTCATTGGTGAAAACCGTGTCGCAAATTCACATATAGTGATCATTCGAAAACTACGTGTAAACAACGTATTTTTTCCATATAATTTCCAGATTCAAAGTTTTGATCTGGTTCAAATCCAAAGAATACTGCCATGCGTGATTCAGCGGTATTGAAAAAACAAATCATGAGAACCTGTTCAGACAAGTTGACGATAAAATATGATGTTCTATACCCTCTGGTAATCAAACTTGGCAATGGAAAACCACCCTACTTATAGTAGATGTCCCAATTAAAACCTTTAGTCAGAAGTAATTTATAGGTGATTTCATAGCTTGCCATGTTTGATGACACCGAAGTATCTATGTCTTGAGGATTTGGTTCCCTCCTTGATAGGTATCTTTACAGGATATACTCTGTAGATATAGAATGTATACAGATAAAGTATATAGAGTGAAATATATTATGTACAATATACAAGAATACATTTAATATAATATATTGTATATCAGCAAAACAACATTTTTTCACTATACTTTACATGTATACATATATATATATATATATATATATTATATACAGATATTATAGTTATTTATGTACATACATAACATGTCTGCTGTCTATCTGGATCCCTCTTTTTTGGAAAATCCACCGTAACTCGTCGTCTCGTCGTCTGCATTTCCGTTCAAGGCGTCTTCCCCACTCCCCTTGGTTGGTACCGAAGGCTTTCGATCACCTCCTCAGTCGCGCCAGTCACAAACGGTGACTCGTATCCCAGCGTCAGATAGGTGGTTTATAACCTATATATATTATAAAACCCATATACTATATTGTGTGTGTGATATTACGGCTATTGGCTGCTTACTAATTGGGATGCACCCTCGGCCCAATAGGATAACACATGGTTTCCTGTTGATATTCTCTTAAACCAATCCATTGATTGCCAAACAAGATGCTACATCTATGGTAGATATGATACATATGATACCTGCATAAATGGGTCATGTTGATAATAAATGTCGGTCATGTCTGTATGTGGAGGTTTCCTAAAATGAGAATACCCCTAAATCATCCATTTGTAGATGGATTTTCCATTATAAACTATCCAATTTCGGGATACCACCATTTATGGAAACCACCATCTGTATACCCTGCAACTACACTCGCTTTCACATAAACATGGATTACTAGGTCTGGTGGTTTCAACCTTCCTGAGAAATATTAGCTGGTTGGTGGTGTAATAACCATCTTGAAAAATATGAAAGCCAATGGACGGATTATCCCATATATGATAAATAAAAACCATGTTTGAAACCACCAACCACTTAGTCATTGAGGATCATCATCGGTGGTAAATCCATTCGCTGGAGGTTCCACAATCTCTTCGTCCCAACCATCCTCGACGGAAATAAACATTTCAAAACACCACCCAGGCAGCATTTTCCGAAGATGGCCTCCAATCTTTATCTGGTCGGTGGTATAGTTTCAACCCCTCTGAAAAATGATGGACTTCGTCAGTTGGGATGATGACTATTCCCAACTGAATGGGGAAAAAAAATGTTCCAAACCCCAAACCACAAAAACATGAGTTCGTCAGTTGGGATGATTATTCTCAATGTATCTGGGTAAATTACAATATTTCACTAACCTGAAATAAGGCTATCTTGGGGATGATTTCCCTTACTAACCATGATTTCCAGGGTTCGGTCGTAGTGAGGTCGTTATAATTTACCCAGATGTATGGAACGTATAAAATTCCATGGTTCCAGTCACCACCAAGCAGTTTATGAAGATCCAACCAGATCCAAAACTTTCACATGGACACGCTTCATCATGTTTCGGACCAAAAAATATGGTCCAATGTTGTTATGAACCAAGGTATACATGTGAAAAAATTATAGATACCAATTTTTTTATACCATTTGTTTTTAACCAATTTCGTTATGTCAGTTTCTTCTACCAAGGGTCAATGGTATTTTCCAAATGCGCCGTACTCTTGGCGTTCCGCACATTGCTTTTGGCCGCTTTCAACTCCGCCAACGCCGCCGCCATGGCGCTTGTGGCGTGGCACGGAGCGTGGCGCCACGGTGGCGCTCGCGGCGAAGGTGTTTTCCGGGGGGGTTTTGCAGCTGGCGACTGGGAAGCATCATGCCATGGCCATCCATCTTGGGGGATTTCTTATCATAGGTATTATATATATATAACATAATATAAGATAATATAATATTTCTAAATATGACTTATAGGAAGTATGCTACCGTAAGTGGATGTAACTGGCTTCCCCTAGTAGTTTTCTCCAATCCCCGGTCCGTCGCAGGCCTCGTACCAACTTGATGGCATAGATGTAGCCATGTCCTTGGAGCAGTGGTAATCCCATAAAAATCATCCTGTGGGTTGAAGATTTACCCTCTGGTAAACTAACATAACTCTGGAAAATCACCATTTTGAATGGGAAAACTCACTACAAAGGTCAATAGCTTTTCGTATGTTTACCAGAGGGTATAACATTTTATAACATTCTGGGATACATCAAAATAACCACCTTTGGGCAGAAGATGGGAAACTGATGCTACAAGACCAGTGGATATCGGTGGATGGAGTACCACATTTTCCGACAAAACCATACCCCAAGTCCGGTGATCGGATAGGTATTGATGCGGTCATATGCATTGTTGTGGCAACATGTTATAACACTGCGGATCTGCAATTATCACAAAAAAACCTGCATGTGCACCAACAAATGTGTTTCAACAAATCTTTGCGGAAATATTTGGTGATCCATTTGTTGATAATACAATTGATTGTTTAGTTCAACTTAATCCAACCCAGTTTTCCGTTGGTTTTACCTGGTGGAAAAAAACGCTCTTTGTCCTGGATCTTTCAGATTCTTTCAGGACTTGGACATGGACAATGATTGAGAGAGGTCCCTGGTATGGGATGGCGCCGTAGCAGTTGAAAACGGTGGCAAAAAAACATCCCACAAGAAAACACATCCCATGGACAATCCCATGGATAATGTGGTTAAAACATGTTAAAACAATCATAATCACATATAATCACCAGCTATTTATGGTGAAATACCCATTTATAGGGCTTCAACCATCCTTCTGGTGGTGCAGGATTTCGCAACCACCCACAGTATGTCAGTGACTTCATCAGTCTATGTAAGATCGGCCTTGGTGGGCTTCCGTAGCCAAGCTGGTGCGTTGAAAAATATCAAACATGGCAACTGGTAATCGGAGAATCCAAAAAAATGTTTTGATAGGAACATCAGCTACAATTTGGTGATATTCCAGGCATGTCCAGGCAACTCATGTCACAAATAACAATAATTTATAATGAGATGGGGCAACAAAAACCCAGACACTAGGCTGAACATCCCACCATTAGCCGCTGCCAAGGCTTCGTCGGGTGCCATGGCTGGTAGCTGGATGCTTTCATGGACACTCCATCTATCAATGGATGACAACTGGGAACCCCCATGACTATGAAAACCTTCAAAAACCTTCATATAGTTGGATTTTTATCACCATGATATATCTGGAGATATCTGGACAATTTTTTCCATGATTCACCCAGCTGAGAATAGATTAGAAGGCCTATCCCCTGACACGCAGAAGCAGTTATTTTTAGGCCATGGCTGGGGCCATGGCTGGGGCCATGGCTGGGGATGATTCCCAGCAATCAGTCACTATCATTCCAGTGACCTCGCAGTACGATCACCATAATCTATCCATATCTATCATATGCATGGGAAGCTCTGATTGTAGCTCCAACTGGTTCCCCATTATTTGTTGGGAATATAAGGGAATATGGATACTAAATGATACTAATAGCTCTGAACGGCTCACTCCATTCGGTAATTCATCCCTATTCATCCAGACCAATTGAGCCATGAAATGCTCCCAAACAAAAGATCCATGTTTGGTAGACAATTCCAGCAGCAGCTGACCACCGCAGATTTTCAGTCTATTTCAAAGATTTCTCAAAAAATACAAAACCAAGCATACCGTGCACGAGACACGTCAATGAATGACACAAGTAGCGTGTGATATTATCTGGGTTTCAACCATATGCCAGCGTCCATCGCTGTCAATGCAGAGGAGCAGCAGGAGCAGGAAGTGAGATCTGGAGCTCAAAACCAAAACCCTCACGCTAGAGATCTTGCGTGCAAGGGGCAGCGGCTCCAAGCGCGTGAGCTCCAGCACTCGTTGTATCAGTTCTTTGGATTCTGCGCACGAATCTTGGAAGCGAATGCATAATCCGTACACCGCTGGGTGCTGCGCATGGCGCATGGGAATGGGGGTAGGCATGTATAAGGATACTCTGCTCATCTGTGGCGGGAAGAATCTCAGCGGACCATCTGTAGCCTCGGCATTGCTGGCAAATGAACTCGAAGCCGGCGATGCTGTGTTCCTCGGCTTTGTGAAGCTGGTGCCGGATCGTCTGATGGTCGCCCTTGATGAGCATCGCCAGGGCCACAGGCAGTTGCTCCCAGCCTGGTGTGCTTGTGTGGAACGGAAGTGCCAGAATGCCACATTGCATCGTGATGCACGGCAGCAGGTGGACTGCCCATCTGTTCCACAAGTTGGCTGGATCATCTGGCATTTGAGGTTCCTGTGGCGGATACCGTTGCCCATAGTTCGAGCAAGATGCGGGTGGCCAGCTGAGTTTCAAGAGGTCAAGTCCAAACACATGGATCTGTCCTATCGCATTGTACTAGTTGGTTGATCGAAGGAAGTTTAGAAGTCAAACTTCCGACAATATGGACAGATGAAAAGCAGAGCAGGGCAGAGGCAGAGAGAAGAGAAAGATTAGAAGAGAGAAGAGTAGAAGAGAAAGAATCAGAAGAAAGAAGATGCAGATGCGCGAAAAGGTAGGAAAGTCGCGAAACACTGTGTTTTTCCAATGATTTGCGGCTCCGAAGGGTCGAAAAGTAGGCTCGCTAAAGCGGCGGGTGCGGAGCCAGCTGGCCAGATGAGACATGAAAAAGTGCACGCCGTTGTGGCGCGAAGCACATTTCCAAGTCAAAATGGACAAAACACTAGAGGAGCGGACCACTTTTGGAAGTTGAGATGTCGGAAAAGTGCACGCCGTTGTGGCGCGAAGCACATTTCCAAGTCAAAATGTACAAAACACACCAATGTCGGACCACTTTTGGAAGTTGCGATGTCGAAAAAGTGCATGCCGTTGTGGCGCGAAGCACATTTCCAAGTCAAAATGTACAAATAACCACATGTTCGAAGTCAAAATGTTAAAAAAATGTTAAAAACACAAGGGGTTCGGACCACTTGGAGGTTCAGATGTCGCTTCGATTCGCTTCACCACACTACACTGCATTACACTACACTTCGCTACATTACACGACTACACTACACTCCACTACAATACACTCCACTACACTCCACTACACTAAATTACACTACACTACATTACACTACACTACATTACAGTACACTACCTTCGACTACACTTCACTACATTACACTACACTACACTCCACTACACTACAACTACGACTACACAACTACACTCCACTACACTCCACTACACTAAATTACACTACACTACAATTACACTACACTACATTAAACTGAATGACACTGCACCACAGATAGACAGGTAGACAGAGAGACAGACAGACAGACAGACAGACAGACAGACAGATAGATAGATAGATAGACAGGTAGACAGCTAGACAGATGAGAGAGAGAGAGAGATAGATAGATAGAAAGATAGATAGATAGATAGATAGGTAATTAGATGAAAGAGAGAGAGAGAGATAGATCGATCGATAGATAGATAGAAGATAGGTAGGTAGGTAGGTAGGTAGGTAGGTAGATAGTCAGAGAAAGAGAGAGAAAGAGAGAGAAAGAGAGGAGACCTCAAGCACCTTTCGGTCCATCAGTGGATTCGCTCTGCCATCCCTGATTCACAACAACTAATCTCTCCTATAGGTTTCCTACTTTTGAAACTTCCGCCACCGCCTTGTGCAGTACTACTGATATATATATATATATATATATATGTTTCTCTACTATTGCTTATCAGAATCCCCAATAGATTTGGTAGTATATTCCCCAATAGATTTTGGTAGTCCATGAAAACATCATCTTTTGCTAATTATGGTAATTTTGCATTTACCCTCTGGTAAACGTTTACATAACTGTGGACAATCACCATGTTTAATGGGAAAATCCACTATTTCTATGGCCATTTTCAATAGCTGTTTGTATGTTTACCAGAAATTACAACCAAAAACTATCCAGGATTAGTTTTGTATCCAAGGTTGGGGATGTAAGTCTAAAAATCACCAATCAACCACAAATAAATCATGTTCTATAGCCAATTTTTCATGGTTCAAAACCATATAAATCCCATATAAATATATAAATACCATATAAGTCCCATATAACCCCCACATCTTCACCAACCATTAAGTAACCCCATGGCCCATCCCAGTCAAGCAGCGCTCAGCAGAGTCCAAAGCCTCACGTCAGCGACGTCTACTTAGATGGGCCACGGACGTTCGTTGGTTATGTAGCACAGTTGACTAGTTAGTCCCGAAGAAAACTGGGTACAGGGAAAGGCGAAAAGGCACGCCTAGCGGGGTAAAAACCTTGTTTTCCGCATGTAACTCTGTAGAAATATTCACCATAGAGGGAGTGGTACGAAGAGACAGATCAAGGATCTCAATATTTCCAAGAACTGTTTGGCATCCTTAGGGATGATGCTCGCCGTCCTCGGATCTGGCCTCCGCTAGGAATCCTGTAATCGATAGTGCGGTCCAGCCATACTTCCGTTACTGAAGAGGCTAAAGGCTCCACTGAAGATTCTCAGGTAGGGGATTCGCTGACGGTGCAACAAGGCAGTTAAACCAAGGTGGATGATCAAAGCTGCACTTTTCCATGCCAACACGGAAGCAGAGAAAGGCTAATGGGCTGTCGTCGCACTCTTTGAAAGAAAGAGGCCAGCTTGGTGATGGAGCCGAAGACCGAACTGCCACAAGCAGCCTCGAACACAGTGAATTCCGGAAAGCACAACCGCAGCCAGAGATAGTGTTCAGATGTGTTCAGTCACTGCCGCTTCGCACTAGAGGAGATCCCTGGGAGGCACATCATGGAACTCCACATCCAGAACAATCCTAGATCAAGGCTCGGGAGAGCTCTGGAAAGTTCAAAGTTTTGACCCCATGAAACTCCGCTTCTCAAGATCACCCCTGCCAGAATCTCATGTTGCCAGAATCTTTTTGTCAAGTTATGGTGGAACTCCGGACCCACAAGTCATGTTTGGATAGGATTGCATGTCAAAGAACAAGTCCCACTTTGCAGATCCCCATGGAACTGCGTGTCCAGCTGCATAGATGTTATACGAGGTTAGCATACGGAGTAAAGCAAATAAACTGGATCATATAAAGTAGGTAAAACAATGTCAAAAACCACCCATTTGGGAATGGTCACCATACCACCCATAAAAATGGTTATGACTGGGGGATGGTTTATGGCATTGGGAATTGCCCATATTACAAAATCTTACAGCACAAAGATGCATAAAGTAGATGTTAAACAACAGCTACAAGAAAAGCTGCCCTTCACCCAGGCTTTACCCGATAAATATAGGAATCCCTAAATCCGGCCTCTTCCAATCTTTGGGGAGAGGCTTTGAGGTACCTGAAGCAGCGAACTAGACAGATGTTTGGTGAAGTGTGGGGCTGAATCTTCAGGCTATGCATTGATGGCTCAAAAATGCTTCAATTTTCTGGAATTGGCATTCCTCCATTTACATCCATGGCCAACCAAACATAAATCCACTACCCTGCCATTCACCGAAGTGTATCCACTCTTGTTGGTCTACTTTCGATCTTACACATCTACAAACATATAAACAATAAACATGAAAAACCCAGTTTTCAACGTCTAAATCAAGGCCTACCAGACTACCATGGTTTGTGATTGGAAGCATTTGAGTCTTTGGGGATCCCTGTATCCATGAGGGTCCCATTTGAATGTCTCCATTTTTGAAGCCTTGGACCATTGGAATCTTGATCCAGTTCCATCAGGTCACATTTGGATGGTATCATACACGATGGGTTCCTGTCCAGAACTCATGGGGCTGTCCAGAAACAGTTGCGTTGCAGGGCTGGGGGTGCAATAACCATGGTTAATAGTGATTAATAGTGGTTAATAGTGGTTATTAGTGATTAATACCTGATCTAATGAATAATATATCTGGTTGGTGGTGCAATAACCATATTGAAAAATACGAGTTCGTCAATGGGAAGGATGACAACCCATATATGAAATGGAAAATGAAAAAGGTTTGAAACCACCAACCAGTTATGATACCTTATGATCGTTGTCCCCATTAAGATGACCCCAAGTCATGGTTGGTGACTGGTATGGTTTGTGAAATTGGCTTTACCACATATCCCATGACGGATCCATGGTGCTGGTATGCTAACATAAAGGGGGTATATTGATGGGATCCATGGCACACCATATATAGCAGCACCATGGATCCTATGGGTATTTGTTTTCTTGCCCCATGTTCAAATTTAGCGATATTGCCAATGAGGAATCAATAGCTGGTAAATACACCCTGAGCTTCCAAGGCCGTCAAAACAATGGTTGACCCGCAACACTGCTAGTCCCCAAAACCATTCGAACAACACAGGTGGTTCCAGCAACAGCTAACAATGGTCTTTGAAAGGTCAGGATATAAACCTAGATTTGGGAAGTGTTCTGTTGATTTGGGACCCGCTGTTTGGGTGTCTCTGAAGTCTGAAAGCACCATAGAAACAATAAGATGTCGGGGATGATTTCTTGCCCATCTATTTTGAGATATGAGAAAAGGCCTCTGGTAATCCAAGATACGAGTACTATGGAATAATCTACAAATGGGCCATTTTCCATAACTATGTTAAATTACCAGAGGGTACTTCAAAGACCCGTGGGAGACTTACAGATACTTACCCTACTGTGGATGGTTGCGAAATCCTGCACCACCTTGGATAGTTGAAACCCTATGAATAGTGGGATTAAGCCATCTATCAACTGCAGCATTTCGCAACCATCCACAGTCTGGTCCTACAGTTCCACGGGAGAAAAAAAGAAGACCAATCTGCTTTTCATCTCTTGGGTGTTAACATCTTTGCCATGGTCAAAAATTGGTATACTCTCACCATTCTTAGGGATTCCTTCATCATGGTATATTAACCTCAATTAACGAGACAGGTGAGCAGTGTTCAAATCCATCCGTCATCCCTTTGTAATGGTTGGTTTAATAAGGATTCCCATAGGTATAACAATTCCCCCCAAAAAAATGGGTACATAGTATAGTCCACGAACAAATCATCAACTTAAACTTCATATATATAATCTTATTTATCAATCATTATCTCCATATTTTGCTGTTTTTTCTATATCCCTGTGGAAAAAAAACATCCGGTGAGGCTGTCCTGGACATTGAATTCAGCTTGCAAGTGACGCGCCAAAAGGTGAACCTCGGAACATCTCATCCGAAGCATCCGATGGAATAGAAAAAACTCAACTCAGAGGGAATAAGAATCAGAAACAGAAACATATACCCTCTGGTAAACTAACATAGCTATTGAAAATGGCCATAGAAATAGTGAGTTTTCCCATTAATAGCATGGTGATTCTCCATAGTTATGTTAGTTTACCAGAGGGTAACTTCATACCATGAGATATAACATATAACTTCAAGATGTTTCATGTATACCATCACTTAAATTATGACTTACTGTATAACTTATAACTTATGACTCTTAGAATATACTAGTCCATAAATTATAACTAGAACCTCTCGTAAGAGGGTTTCTAGTTCAATACATAACTTCACCATCACTTCAATCATATCATGTCCCAACATTTCCCATCATTTCCACACAAAAAAAACATGACACCATGATTTCATGTCATTTCCCAGCATCATTTCCATCGACTTTCCAGTATTTCCAGCCCCCAACGACTTCATAAACAAGGCCCCAAAAACCGCAGCTTGTCGATCCGATTGCTCCGCGTCCAACAGCAGTGGGATGGCCTCGAAAGTCAAACAAGACTTTCGACGAAAAAAAAAAGGGTTATCACTGGGATGAACATGTTATAACAGTAATAACCCATAAATTAACATATGTTATTAACTAGTATAACAATAGTGCAACTATGTTCTATAGTCTTATATGTTATTTTATAACATTTTATAACTATATGTTATAACTAGTATTCCGATGTCATACTAATGTCATGTTATCCTATCTTATACTAAGCTCCAATTTTTGATGCCAAAAACGTGGCAGATTCAGCAAGTTTGGCCCCAGATATTCTGGGAGGAATCTAGCCAACCCTCCAAGATAGAGTCTGGGGTTGACCATGACTCCCTTTAAAAATGGGTAGGTAGGTCACTCATTCTACCTGAATCTGGTTGGTGGTTTCAACCCCTCTGAAAAATATGAAAGTCAATGGGAAGGATTATCCCATATATTATCTAACATAAAAAAATGTCCAAACCACCAACCAGTGATGTATATTGCATTATATTACCAGGTTCATCAATTAACTTATCATGTGGGGAAACTCTAATTGTAGCTCCAACAGGCTCCCATGTCAAAGGGGCCTGGATACAGCATGATACAACCATAGTTCCCTTCACAGCTCCTAAGAAGCCGCCGAAGCGATTTGAGGGTCATTTGGGTCTGGCTGAATCCACTGAGAATCTGCTCATGAAATGGCCATAAATGGGGTACCTTAGGTTTCAACAACCTCATGTCAGTTTCCAACAATCCTGAGGTTTCCAAAGTCATGGGGGTACCCCCAAATCATCAGACCATGGAAATGTGTTGAAAGTTTCAACTTTAAAAAACCTATGGTTTTCGGATGTTTTAAGGGGATACTTCCTTGAACCCCCTGGCTGTTTTTCGCTTAAGCCAATTTCAGAAATGCAACACCTCCACCTCCTCCAGTTATAGCATTTCTCCTGGGAGAGCCCACCAAACTTTTCGCAGCCTCAGTTGGTCAAAAACTTGGTACCCTTTGGTTCACAAAAATCGCTGGGAAATTCATGTGAGCCATGGTCAATACTCACTATATGGTTGATGGTCATCCCATCCATAATAAGGATCCTTATAATGGTTATTATAAATCCTATGAACCATTGGATGACTAGCCCCTATTAATGGTTACTAACCATGAGTATTGACCATAGCTCATGTGAACTACCCCCAGTTCAAAGGTGGTACATACTACGCAACTTTATTCGAGTAGACTCCAAAGATGTCAGATACGGAAAATCAGCTGACTCTGTGCCCCGTGGTTGGTTTCAATGCTCGTTGCCACTGCAGTTCATTGTATAGTGTGCATTTGTTTTTTTAAATTTTGATATTTCCAGAGAGAGTGTCTATCATTCCCTTGGTCAAATATTTTCCCAAACTATACAATCAAACAAAACAGGTAGGTGTCTGGATGCTTGTCATGAGAACTGGTCGCTCTCTTTCTGTTGGTTTTGTTTTCCATTTTTGGCAAACCAAATCCCAGTCTCCTCGAGTTTAAAACCCCTGCGGTTGTTTCTTCAAATAAAATGAATCTGGTGGTTTTTTGCTGGTTCAAAATGGCCTAACAAACCTTTCACCCCATATTTCCCTGGAGGATTCCAATATTTTTTTTGGGTGAACACTTCATGTTTTAGTTCAACAAATTGGTGAAAAAACTTGGCAGATTGACACACCGCACACAGTGTTGGTTTCAAAATGTTTCAAAACCAAACCAATGAACAAAAAAACAACAAAACGGGCAACCACCCACGATTGCACTGACAATTGTATAAAGGTTAAATGTTGGTTAAAATGTTGGTTTAAAAACAATTGATTTCACTGACAATTGTCATAAAATGTTGGTTAAAGGTTCAACGTTTTAAATTTCAATCCAACCATCGAAAGCCTCCGATTTCGACAAAATACATGCCAGGCTGCCACTCAAAACACGAAAAAAACTTATAAACATGTCCATCTTTTTCACACTTCCATGAATTTCCAGTTTTCCCTTTTCACAATTTTTCACACATAAAAATCACATTTTTCCCCGGCGATGTTCACCTTTTTTTGGGGGCCGCAGAGTCGCTGTCGCCATCCATGGCGCCTCACAAAGGCACCGCAAGCGCTGTAGGGCATCGGCGGCTTCGGGTTCATCCTGCCAGGCCTGTCACGGGGGACGTTGTGTAGTGAGTTTGCCGAATTTTAAGGAATTTTAAGGAATTTTAATGACATTTTAAGGAATTTTAGGGACTGTTATGGAATTTTAGGTAATTTTAGGTACTTTTAGATAAATTTAGGGCATTTTCAGCTATATTAGCTAAAATAAATAGCTAGATCTATATGTTGGTAACTATTTTTAGATTAATGGTCATACTAGATCTATTATTAGGTGTAGTGATTTACCATTCCCATATTTAGTTAATGGGAATAATATATCTAGGTTTAACTAATTAATGGGAATAACATATCATAATTAATGGGTCATAATAATGATAATAATGGGCATAATTAATGGGATAATGACTGTCTATCTATCAATGCTATCTCTTAATAATAATGATCATCATGGTATTAACATTAATTATCCCTGATTCTAGATGAATTGTCCCCATTGTCTCCTAGATCTATTCATGATAAATCAATGGGGAAACAACGAAATTGATGATAATAGATCTAGTCTACATAATTCCATGAAATTAAGGATGATGATATATAATTAAAGGTATGTTAGTGATTAGATAATGGGGATAAGTAATTCCATGGGATCCTAGTAGGATTGACAGTCAATTCCTGCCATGGGATGCTGAAAAATCGCTGTATGGGTAACAGGTCAACCTATTTCATCACATTTCCGCCTGGTTGGTGGTTGGTGGTTGAGCCACCCCTCTGAAAAATATGAGTTCGTCAGTTGGGATGATTATTCCCAATATATAGAAAATAAAAGCCATGTTCCAAAGCACCAACCAGCCCCAATCGTTGATCAAATGGCAACCATGGTAGCGAAGTTGAGGCGCACCTGCCATCCCATGCCACGCTCTGCGTTTGGGTCGTGATTCACCTGGCCAAATCCCAAAAGGCTGGTGAAGTTCGTGCCGAGCTTGAAGATTACCCCAGGATTTCATATATATCCCATGTTGAGTATACAGTTGAGAAACATCCCCTGATATCTCCAATGACTAAATTTCCCAGTTATGGGTGTACGTGCCTAAGATATTTAAGTTTGAATTCTTTTGGCGGTTGAAAATCAAAGGTGGTCTTTTATCGTGGCAATGGAACATGGAAAACCTCCCACGTACAGATAAAGGAAGGCTCGTGTTTTGCGTTTGGGGCCCAGTGCATTCAGGAAAGTGGGCATCCTGGAATCTAAAAATGTGTATTTCGGCCTCTCCTTGGGTTGGATCAAACAGTCCACTGGAAAAAAACAATCACAAACTTCACCCCTAAGAACATCCTACCAGCACCAAGCCAACATGCACCAGCATCATGCCAGCATCCTCCATACCGGAGTCATCGGAGCACATCCCAGCAAACATTCTTGCGATCACCCTCCGTCCCCAAAGATCAAGCGACGGCAATCGACAAACCCCTATCCAGCAGTGGCTCACTGCATTTAAATTTGGGCCGGTCTTGGCACCAACTAGCATCCTAGGATGTTGCAAGAGCAACTGTGAGACACCGAGCCAGCCAAATTGCATATAGCATTGGTTCCTCTGCTGCGACCTTGCGGAGCTTGGTGCCTGGCTTCTCTCATCTCAGATTCCTCGGATGTCATATTCTTCACATGTGTCATTGGGCGCCTTGGCATTTCTGGCCTTTCCCGGGAACCAGAGGCAGCCGCAGCTGACCTGTGCAGTCTGGGCACGGGCCCGAACCCATTGCGAGCTCTGGATCTGGCTGGGCAAGCACGGACCACCAGAAAGAAAGTGCCAAATAGAATGACAGAATATATATATATAACATATATATAATATAATATAAATAAATAAATAAATATATATATATCTCAGATAGAATGCCAAATAGATTGTCAGAAAGAATGCCAGAGAGAATGTCAGAATATATGCCAGAAAAGATGCCACAATGAATGCCAGAATAGATGCCAGGTAGAATGCCAGAAAGAATGTCAGAAATTATGTCAGAGCATATGCCAGAAACAATGTCAGATAGAATGCCAGAACATGTTTCATATATACTTGCAAATGTAGTGTAAACTATGTCAGAATAATCGGTCAGGGTAGGGGATCACTCGAAGTAAAGTGGTTCATTTTTGGATGGACCAATGAAACTGTTCATCTATTGAGGGCAAAAATGAAAAAACACACACTTCTGTGATGCCTAATTCCCAGTGCTGCACACCCTGGTTAAGCAATTTTACCCTCTGGTAAACTAACATAACTATGGAAAATCACCATTTTTAATGGGAAAACTCACTATAAATGGCCATTTTCAATAGCTATGTTAAATTACCAGAGGGTAAATGATTTGAATGCCTATGCAGATTTTCGCAGCCATATTTGATAACCAGAGGGGTGGCAAAAAAAAACATTTCAGATTGTTGGCGAATGACTTCCCAATCAGATTGTCATATTCGAATATGAAATGGGTAAACTTCCAATATGAATGGGAATGTCAATGGGAATGGCTATATTCCCAATTCCTATGATGCCTATGATATTCCCATTCATATTGGAGGGAAACTCAGACCCGCCCACCTCCAGTGTGATGCGCTCGAGTAACGCCTCAAGGTTTGGTGGCCACAGACGAGATGATGCTATGTGGATAGCAACCATGGTTACTTCATCTTGTTACAAACATGTAGAAACTAAATTAACGCAGCATAACGCATAAATGATGATAAATGTAACTAAACGACGTTTTGCACTCAGATAATTTCTGTGTTATAAACCATTTAGAAACCACATGTTTGATGTTGACAAGTTTAATCTAAATCAGTGCAATCTGGTTTTCTATCTGGAAGGCATATCGAAGCAGTAATCGAACTTGGAAATAAATAATCACGATTCCCTCTTTCCAAGGAGAATAGATTATGAAACTAGCATTGAAACGGGAGTTGTCCGGTGCCAGGACAGGTTCCCTTAGTATATGCCAATTCGTCCTTTAAATGGAATAGTAGTTGAATATTTGAAACCACCAGCTTTTGGAAGTGCATGGTTTACTGGTTGGTGGTTTCAACCATCTTGAAAAATATGAATTCGTCAATGGGAAGGATGACAACCCATATATGAAATGGAAAATAAAAGCCATGTTCCAAACCACCAACCAGCTATAAATTTATAACATTAACTATAAGGTACAGTAGTATACCCCCAACTAATCCCCTATAATTCACCATGAAATCCTCTATCACCAGTTTAGGTACCCTCTGGCAATCAAACATGGCAGGACAATTTCACCATTTTGTTCGTTCGTTGATTCTCCCATTCATCCACCATTGAGCTCGGGGATTTCACAGCAAAGCGCCATGTGGTTCATTTCATTACATGGCATTACGTTATATTTCTTACATTACATGACATTATATACATTTCATTACATGTCATTACATTATTTTCATTGCATTGGATAATTCCAATATATATATATATACAGAGGTTGTAATCAATCACTATATTTTGGATAAGAATCCACTTAAGTTGACATAAATTGGCGACGAATATTGGGATGATCCCTCAAGCTAAGATACAAGATTGGTAGTATATACATTAGGACGTAAACGGATATACCATAGCATTAACAAGGAAACACACTAAAATATATAAACACGCACAGATATATATATATATATATTATACACATTAATAAACACAATATAGATAGATAGATAGATAGATAGATAGATAGATGGATAGATAGATCGATAGGTCGATAGATCGATAGATCGATAGATCGATAGATCGATAGATCGATAGATCGATAGATCGATAGATCGATAGATCGATAGATCGATAGATAGATAGATAGAAAGATAGAAAGATAGATAGATAGATCGATAGATCGATAGATCGATAGATCGATAGATCGATAGGTCGATAGATCGATAGATCGATAGATCGATAGATCGATAGATCGATGGATAGATAGATAGATAGATGGATAGATAGATAGATAGATAGACAAAATAGATAAATAGACAGATAGATAGATAGATAGATAGATCGATAGATAGATATATAGATAGACCGATAGATAGATAGATAGATAGGTAGGTAGGTAGGTAGGTAGATAGATAGATAGATAGATAGATATAGATTAGATATATTAGATAGACTAGATAGATTAGATAGATTAGATAGATTAGACATATTAGATGGATTATATAGATTAGAGAGATTAGATAGATTAGATCGATTAGATAGATTAGATAGATTAGATCGACTAGATCTACTAGATCGATTAGATGGATTAGATCGTAGATGGTTTAGATGGATTAGATGGATATTAGATGGATGAGATGAGACGGATTAGATGGATTAGATGGATTAGATGAGACTAGATAGACTAGATAGATTAGATTGATTAGATAGATTAGATAGATTAGATGGATTAGATGGATTAGATAGATAAGATAGATAATATAGATAAGATATAATAGAAATATAGGATAGATAAATAGTATAGGATATATGGATAGGATAGATAAATAGGATAGATAGATAGGATAGATAGACAGGATAGATAGATAGGATAGATTGGATAGATAGGATAGATAGGATAGATAGGATAGATCGGATAGATCGGATAGATCGGATAGATCGGATAGATCGGATAGATCGATAGATCGATCGATAGATAGATATATTTGATTGATTGATTGATTGATTGATGGATTGATAGATAGATAGATCGGATACATAGATAGATAGATAGATAGATAGATAGATAGATAGATAGATGATAGATAGACAGAAATATAATCCCCTGTAATCCTTTGTATGTATATATACATAAATATAAGCAGAAACATATTTATTTATCTATTAATTTAGTCTATTA